GCTTTCAAAGTATCATAACTTATTCCGATCGGAATCAACATTTCGACAGCTCGAGAGGTACCGGAAACTTTCCGATCGATTCGGAAACAATCCGACTGTTCATAATAACCCATCTAGGAATATCTAGGGAAAAACGGAATAATTCCGATCGGAATCCATTTCGAACATTTTCATGATAGGTGCCCAGTATTATTATATTTCAGTGGTTGCAAGTTATTCCGTTCGGCGTTCAATAAACCTGGCAGTACACGGAACATTTTTTGTGCTCACTTCCAATCTATGGAGTTTCCTTATTCATACTTCATGACTGATGGCCATACAAGATTGAAGATACAGGCCATACCGCCATGAGTGTTTACGTTCAGTTGTAATCGGTGCGATCACGCACGTTTCGATTTGTGAGATAATATATATTGTTCGTATTTGCATATTGTAATATTAATTTAGTAATCGGTACCGATTTATTTGTGTTTTCCGTAATTATTTTGCATTTCAGAAAATTTTATGAGAAAAATCTACATTTTGTTGCGAAAATAAGGAAATAACCTTAACCTTAACATAATGACTGAATTGAATAAAGACAGAAATACATTTTTTAAAAGGTGTATGTATAAAGATTGTATAAACAGACAAGTGCCTCATGGAAAACACTTATATAGATTTCCAGCGGAGACAGATGGCAGACAGTATATATGGATACGTTATAGTGGTAAATATGTACATTTATATACATATATATATAATATATTATGTGTATGTATGTACAATCGTGGACACATCGGTTGCGACACATTCTTTTTTATAGATTTCAAAACGCACTAATATTTTGCAAATGCGGACCACGATTGGTGTCTCTAGACTAAAGATAGTAACATCGTGGTTCGCATTTGCAACATATTAGTTATCTATAAAGTATATATTATTTATATTAAATATATACATAATAGAAACCTATAAAAAGTGTCGCAACCGACGTCCACGACTGTACGTATACACATACATATATACAGATGAAAACATACAATTTTTATCATTGTACACAAGACAGTCAGTTTATTGTGTTTAATGCATATATGTTTTTCATCTCTGTCTAAATACAGAGTATGTTAAATACTATAACAAGTTTTATGGAATTACAGATAAACCCAGCAAACAAAAATTAATTCAAATGAATTGAAAATTGTAATTTATTTTAATTTATCTGAGTTGGTGCTATAGAATCATTCATGTTCCTATGCCTTTATGTATCTACGTTTTATGTTCCCTTCCATAATATTTTTAGATTTAGTTAAATTGAAATACGAAATGAGCTATTCACATGTTTAATTCGGATGTATGTATGTCCATATTATATTATTTTTGGATTCATCATTCAAATGAATTTGAAAAATTAGAAGCGTCAATTTGGAAATGCCGAAATAAATTCATTTTTATCCATTTCAAATCATTTTTGTTTGCTAGGAATTTTTTCCGAATATCATTTGCTATAAAAAGGACAATAGCTGTACGTGCATTTCTTTTAATCAGCAAATGTAGGGCTGCGCATGTGCGTCTTCGTCTATTATATCCCCTCCATAATATTGTCTTCCTCTCACAAAAATTTTTGGCCACTTGTTTTTTCTTTCTTCGATTATTCTGATATTGTCCAACTTGAGCCAACGCGCGCATGGTCGAATACAATATTCCAAATCTTCGCTTTGCTATGGAATCAGAAAGTTTGATCACATAACACTTTGTTTCAGGCCTCTGGATGGTTAAACATCCATCAGCACTTTATCCTTCACTTATGTTGTCTCATTATTATATCTTTTATACATATAATAATTATAAGCATATAATAATAATAATAATAATAATAATAATAATCTATTATTATTTCTTTTGTACTCACTAAATATATTAACTATAATAACACATACAGTGTAAAAAGTATTTGTACAGAGAAAATTTTTGTAAAACAGCTTTATTTTTAGAAAATAAGCATTAATTAGCAATTTATTAACAATGAATAAAATAGTTTGTATATTGTATATTTCTCAAGATTATGCGATCTAAACCGCTAATAATTATACAATATATTGTCTTAATAAGCGAAAAAAATTCCATTATTTAAATCCATAAATAATATTCGTACAGTTCAGAATTAACTTCTAAAGTCATGAACATAGTTATTTTCATAGAACTTCTTCTTTTAACATACCATCTAAATATAATATTCGTTGTTAATAAATTGCTAGTTAACGTTTATTTTCTACAAATTAAGCTTTTTGTATAAAAATTGTTCTTGTATGAATATTTTTTACACTCACTGTCATCTATTTTTTCTGTATGAGAATAGCGATTTATTATCGAATATTACCTCTATCAAGTTAGCAGAACCAAATGAGCAGAATCAAACCGGACCTATCCAATTTTTTAGTACTCAATTTGTACTAATTTGTACCACCAATAAAAATTTTGTACCTCGTGCCGTTTTGAAGAAAAACGTGGCGCTGCTAGCTTTATATTAAGCTAGCAGGACCACA